TTTATGAGGTTTCTTTTTCTGGACTCACACTTAATTTATGGATTGATTTATGGAGACTTAAAATCAATGAAGTGTCTTGTTATGCAATAATAGGGTATGCATATTACATTAATTTACCTGGTTGTATTATTATTTTTTATTTAATTAATTTATTTATTTTTGAGACAGAGAGAGAGTGAGAGAGCGAGAAAGAGCACAGTAGGGGCAGAGACAGAGGGAGACAGAATCCCAAGCAGGCTCTGCACTGTCAGCACAGAGCCCGATGCAGGGCTGGAACTCAGGAACTGTGAGTTTATCACCTGATCTGAAACATGAGAATCAGAGGCTTAACCAACTGAGCCACCCAGGTGCCCAATTTACCTCGTATTTTTTTTTGGTATCATCTTTAAAGTGTTTCCCTTTATATTCTAAACTATAATTATCTCCATTGCTCCATTTATCAGCTTCAAACAATATCCCGTGATTATTTCACAAAATTTGAAAAATCGGTGTGCTTATATTCCTTATACTTTGTTCTTCCCTTCCTTCTTCCTCTCCATGTTGGTTAGATTTTTTTTCAGTGTGTTCAGCATTTATATTCCTCTTTGTTCACCACAATTTCAAGTTTTAAAATTCGAGTAGAATCAATTTACTCTGCCAGTCCTCCAGCTGTCATTTTCCCAGTTACTCTCAAGTCCCAGATTTGTGTTATTTGCCTTTATTTGTGAAAAATAGCTCCATGGGGAAGACAATTTCTCCATCAGCCTTTAGCCCTTGGGCCTTATGGCCCTGCCTCGCTGTCTTCTGTCAGTGGGAGCTCTGTGGAAAGTGAGCTCAGTTCCCTGTCCCCCACTCCCCTCCAGGAGACTTGGTGGATTTTTTTTTTTTTTAACCTGGTGCTCATAGTATCTTTTGAGTTCCTCTTTAAAACCTTGGGGTTGAGTGGCCCCTGGGTGGCTCAGTCGGTTGGGCATGTTACCTCAGGTCAGGTCATGATCTCACAGTTCAAGAGTTCGAGCCCCTCACAGTTCATGAATTTAAGCGTGCTGACAGCTCAGAGCCTGGAGCCTGCTTCGGATTCTGTGTCTCCTTCTCTCTGCCTGTCCCCCACTCACTCTGTCTCTTTCTCTCTCTCAAAAATAAACCTTAAAAAAATTAAAATCTTGGGGTTGATTGTTTTTTATCAGTTTTGGAGGAGCAAAATACACCTTTTCAAACTTTCATTCCAGGAACTCCACCCCCCCCCTCATTTTTCTCTTTTAGGAAACTTCTGTCTTATTTGTTTTGTTTCCGTTTTCAGCAACATTGTTTATTCCTGTTTTGGAACTCTCTCTACTATTTGTACAGTGTTTTCTCTTTTTCATTTGATCTTTTTTTACTGTTTCTTTTGAGAGAGAGAGAGAGAGAGAGAGACAGCATGAGCAGGGGAGGGGCAGAGAGAGAGGGAGACACAGAATCTGAAGCAGGCTCCAGGCTCCTAGATGTCAGCACAGAGCCCAACTCGGGGCTCAAACCCACGAACTGTGAGATCGTGACCTGAGCCAAAGTCGGACGCTCATATGACAAAGCCACCCAGGCGCCCCTCATTTGATTTTGCTCAGTGTTAACAGCATGGTTCTCCCTGTTCATGACTTTTCATTAGTGTCACTCCTCTTTACTGATGCTTCTCGTGTTTCATACGTTTAAATTACAATTTTATTTTTCTATTTACTGCATTAATTTTTAAATTTTTATTGTTTTATTTAATATTTTATTTATTTTTATTTTATTTTACTTTTACAGAGAGAGAGAATACAAGTGGGGAAAAGGGTCAGAGGGAGAAAGAGATTCTTAAGCAGGTTCCACACCCAGCATGGAGCCCAGGGTGGGGCTTGAGCCCATGACTTGAGCCAAACTCCAGAGTTGGATGCACAACTGACTCAACCACCCAGGGGCCCCTATTTCATTAATTATATATAAAAGCTCCCTACTACTTTCATTTGTTTTTTGTTTGTTTTTTCTTTTTTTGTGTCTGTGACATATTTGGTACCGTGGCGTATATATGCTTTGTGGTATAGAATTTCTGGTATAGTGTTTTAAATTTTCTTCTAGAATTGTTTTTAAATACAATTTAGCGTTTTTTTCTGGGAATATCTCTTTACATAGCTCATGTTGGCTTCTGTGTAGTGATTATCTTAGAACTAAGGCTTTTGGGGAAAAAGGAGAGGGGAAAACTGAGTCACTTGGCAGAATAAAAGAAGACATGGCCCTTTGAAAAGGGAGAATTGAGAAGAGATGAAGAAGCGTGAAGACGAAATGATAAAAGGGCAGCAAGAGATGAATAGTGAGCTGGTAGAGCTCAAAAAGAAGTGGGAGAGAAAAATAAAACCCTAAGAGAAATCAAAACAACATTAGACGCTGCAAAGAATAGAGCAGACAGCCTGAATATACAGTCAGTGATGAATAGAATGGGCTTGGAATTCCATTTTTTTTAGCGGGCTATCTGTTTCTTTGAAGATAAAGTATAGTGGAAGGGCCTCGAGAGTGAGCTGGCTTAATTAATTGTCACTGTTGGTCTCACAGATGAAAGACCGCCCCCGTTGTGGGCTGGGTTCAGTAGAACTTCTCTTGGGGTCATCCTGATAATTCCTGTGCCACCTGATTTTGTGTGTACGCCCCATCTCACCAAGCTCTGGTGACTGTCCTCCATCAGGTAGATCTTTTCCTTCCGGATGTCAGGTTTTCCTTACGTAGCTCCATGTCCCTCCCCAGAGCTGGTCGTCCGATGGCTCTAGGTATTCTCACGTGCTCTGTCCTGCCCCTACCTCTTACCTTGGCACATAAGAAGTTGTTGATTTCACGCCTCCTCTGATGACCTGTCTGTCATGCTGGAGATCTGCAAAGTCCTGCAGCGGTTCCTCGCTTTCTCTGTCACAGAGGACAGAGACTCACTGTCCTTGTCATCTCCCAGAAGAGAGATACTGAGTTAATGACATGGTGACACTTCAAGTCAGAAACACTGGCAACTGAATTTATGTTTATTGCATGTCATAGGCCATGGAAAAGTGCCAGAGAAGCAGGAGAGGCACCTGCCTCCAGGGGAGGAAGCGGAAGAGGGAAGAGGTACTGCCTTGGTGCCCTGGGCATGGACTCTCCCAGCCGAAGACCCTGGTGTTCTCCGAACAACGCTGTGCTGCTGTGGCTCCTGACACGATCCCGAACAAGGTGAGATGTTAACAGCTCCAGATCCACTGGCTGGTAAGACCTGGAGTTAGGAGGGCTGTCCACAGGTCAAGGGCATGTCCCGGGTATTCAGGTGGCCGGCATATCAGGAAACACCTCTCTATTCCCCAGCTTAAATTGAATTATTGGGCCATGCCCATCAGATGTGCCCTTCCATAAAGTAGCTGCTGAAGGAAGGAGTACTTTGATTCCCTTCTAGGACTCAAGTCAGGCTTCAAACCCGACTGAGCCTCTGGGGGCGCTGTGGTTGTGTCTCTCCTTACATGGCCTCCCACACCATGCCTATGGCTCCTTTTCCATCTGGGACTATGACACTGCCATTGGATTTAGGGCCCACCTGTTCAGTCTGCATGATCACATCTTGAGACCTTTAACTACATCTGCAAAGACTCTCATTTTCAAATAACGTCACATCCACAAGGTTTGGGTGGCTACGTATTCTGGGGGCCACCGTTCAACCCACTGCCCTCGGAAAACACATATCGGAGAACATTCTCATATCCGTGCGTAATAAGATGATGCATAGGAAAGTTGTAAACTGGATGTGTGTGAATTTCTTGAGTGAGCTATAACCCCACCTCCTCCTTGGGCTCTGATCTCTAACATAACTGAATTGTGGCAGTGGTGGTTGAAAGCCAGTGGATGATTGTGAGGCTACTTAAATACCTTTGTAGATTGTCGGGATCTTACATATTGCTGTGCCTCACATATGAGCTCAGAGGCCCTTGTCCCAATCCCATCTAAGCCTGCTGTGTTCTTTTTGCACTTTACCTTGCCAGTCCTGTGTGTGGGCACAAAATCTGACACACTGCCTGGTCCTCTAGAACTTCCCTTCTCATACTCTGAGGGTCCTGACCTGATTTCAGTGCCAAGTGCATATTTGCAAAAGGATGTGCAAATTCTGCCATCGTATCGAGGTTTATTTTGCCACAGTTCTGTAAGCAAGGGGGTAATAATCATAAAACAGTGGGCATTCATTTTGTTGAATTCAGCATCTGGGAGGTTAGGTGGCCCACCTGGGTTTACATGGCAAATAACTGACTAGCACTAAGTTTCAAATCCAGGTCTTTCCGAACCCCAGCGCTTAGCCATTCTGCTGTAAGACTCCGTTGGAAAGCAGCCGATTAAATTGGGGTTGGGCTTACATCTCCATTGTGTGCTGGTTTAATTGGAAACCAACAGGAGGCGATCTGTGAGATCATTGGACTCCACAAAACTGGGACTGAAAGAAATTATTTTACCCAAGGGATTAATTACTTGATTAAGGAACTTTGTGGAACTGTTTCACGAGTGCAATTTTTGCTTTCGGGTAACAAAGGCTGTTTTTAACTTAGATATTTGACGCTGTACATATTACATAATTTCTGTAGATGGTAGGGCATGAGAAATAACCTTGTTCAGTTAAAAAGGCGTGGGGGAGAGGGCAGGGGAAAAGAGTGAGTAAAATGAGGACCAGGTGAAGGCACTATCGTAAACAGCAAGAAAAGAGTTGAAATTATACTGCACGGCCTGAAGACACAAAACATTTCATTTCCTTTTGTGTGAAACTGGTCTGACCTTCACAGTTCTGAAATAACAGCAAAGATTATTTTTCTGGTGGCTGTACTGCATTTTCAGCAAGTAGTTAAGCAGACGGCTCAGCATGAATAAATACAGTTAGGAATTGTTAGGGGAGGTTTCTATGAAGAGCGCATGTTAAGCAGTAATATAAATGTAAGAGCTTACAGCAAAACGAAATTCATAATGTAAAGGTCAAACCTGCCTAAGAGAGACTTTTAGGTAAACTATGGACTGGAAAACCGATTCCCATTTTGTTTTAATAGTTAGCAACGTATGGTGGCTGAGGTGATGTGTTTCAGTTGAGTGGATCTTGTAGCATTATCTTGTGCTTGATTCAGCAGAAATGTGCGTGACTTCTGCAGGGCTGTGAAAAATGGCTGAAGTCCCTCTTCCCGAATCTGAAATTAATGACTAGAAATATTACCAACCAGGTAGGTTGTCAAAAAAAAATAGTGTAGGCGCTTTATCTAGAGATGGTATATTTAAAAAATTTTTTTAATGTTTTATTTGCTTCTTAGAGAGAGAGAGAGAGAGAGATCAGGGGAGGATCAGAGAGAGAGGGAAACACAGAATCTGAAACAGGCTCCAGGCTCTGGGCTGTCAACACAGAGCCCGAAGCGGAGCTTGAACCCATGAACCGCGAGATCATGACCGGAGCTGAAGTCGGACGATTAACTGACTGAGCCACCCAGGCATCCAAGACGGTATATTTTAGATAAATGGGGAATTTTATGGGATCAATGAGGAGGACCAATGTATGTAACATTGAAGTTAGCCAGAGTAATTAGTTAAAAACATCTGGAGATAAGAATCATAGACCCTTATTTCACTTATTTACCTATTTATCTCCTGTCCGATTTTTGAGTTTGAAATATATTGTCTAGACTTGTTCGTAAGTAACCAGAAGAACTTGTAGGAGGAGGGGGCGATCACTAATGTCTTCTCTGGAGAGGCAGATGAGCATCAAAGGTAGTCACCCTTTGGGAAGTTTTGTAGTTACTTACTTATTTATTTTTTAATATTTTTATTTTTATTTCTAGGAGAGAGAGAGAGACAGCATGAGCAGGGGAGGGTCAGAGAGAGAGGGAGACACAGACTCTGAAATAGGCTCCAGGCTCTGAGCTGGCACGGGGCTCAAACACACGAACCGCGAGATCATGACCTAAGCGAAAGCCGGACGCTTAACCGACTAAGCCACCCAGGCGCCCCTGTAGTTACTTATTTAATCCTTAATTTTGTCGCATATTTATTAAGCCCCAACCAAATGCCAGCCACTCTTGTAGAGGTGTAGAGATAAGTGAAGCACAGTCACTGTGTTCAAAGCTGCGTGGAGAGGATGGGCGTGGGGAACAAGCAGGTACACCTGTCACAAATCAGAGTGCCCGGGGCAGGCTCAGGAGGGGGTGCGGTAGAGCCCAGCTGGTGACGCCCAGTCCTCAGAGGGTGGCAAGGGCGTGCAGGAGAAGCTTGTCAGGGGCGCAGTTTGAGGGGGACATAGACGTTGCTTAGTCTCTGACCTGTTTCCTCTTCTGTAAAATACTGAGAAGCTAGCACTTACCTTTCAGGCGTCTGGTGAGGATGACCAGTTGGTGTGAGAAGCCCTGGCATGTGTAGGAACTCCGTGTTTTCATTACGAGCGCTGTGGCTGGATTTCTGCTCTCTCTCTCTCTAGTCTGAAATGCTTGAATCCCAAAGGAAAATGAAACTCAATATTAGAGCACTTTTACTCTTAGGCCAGCCATGTAAAAGCACAATGTAAATTACCAGGCGCCGTAAGCTCATGATTTTTCACTCTGAATTAATATGGAAACGAAGAGCTATCTCTTAGCTTCTTATTGCACTTGTAACAAATGGCCATAGACTTAGTGACTGGAAATGACACATATTGATTGCCTTGCTTTTCTGGAGGACAGAATTCCGGAATCCATTTCACTGGGTAAAATCAGGTTGTTGGCTTCTTCTGGAAGAAGATGGCCACATCTCTCTAATCTTTGCTTCTGCAGTCACGTTAAGGTCTCTTCATTCTGATTTCCTAACTCCCTTTCCATAGGACATTTATGATTACATAATGATTACATTAGGACATATTATGATTACACAGTTACCTGGGTAATCCAGGATAATTCCATCTCAAGATCCTCAACTGATTATCCACCAAGTCCCTTCTGTGACATAAGAGAACAGTCACTGGTTCTGAGAGTCAGGAGCTGGATTGTCCTGGAGGGCTGTGTTCAGCTGGCTACAAGACAAAAAGATCAGAAGAGGCCATCCTTGCTTGCACAGCTACTCTGTTCTGTCCCAGACAGGTTTAACTCTGCCCCCAACATGTGCATGGGCCATTGTACATAGATAGGGCTTGCTGGAAAAGGGAGGTGCCTCCCGGAGCCATTGAGCTGTTAACGTCCACCTTACTGACACTCAGTTTTAGCAAGTCCATAGCAATCCTGGTGATGCGCCTTGAATTTAGCATTCTGTCCCATTCCTACCTAGATTTCATCTCACTGCTGTTAGAGGACAATATCTCTCAACATTTAAATTTGTTCAGTAGCCAGGTTGGGGGCGGTGTCCAAATAGAATGATGGTACATTAAAACCATTGGGTAACGGTTAAATTAAATGCAGTGATGTAGGGGCACCTGGGTGGCTCAGTTGGCTGAGGGTCCGACTCTTGATTTTGGCTCAGGTTGTGATTCCAGGGTCGTGGGATCGAGCCCTGCATCAGGCTCTGTGCTAATCATGGAGTCTGCTTAGGTGTCTCTCTCTCCTTCTCTCTGTCTCTCTTTCTCCCTCTCCTTCACTCTCCCTCTCTCTCTGTGTCTCTCTTTCTCCTTCTACCCCTTTCCCCCACTAATGCTGCCTTTCTCTAAAAATATATAAACAAACAAATAAATGCTGTGATGTTATTTGAGCATGATACAGTATTGCTGAGGGAGAGTTTGTGTTGACTGTGTCTGATTGAGAAAGCCAAACTAATGAGGCAGAGCTGTTTTTCCTCTGTAATACTCAAGTGCAAGATATTAAATATGTGAAGTTTCATTAAAATTATATTAAGTAGAAGGTAATAAAATGTCATATTGCTTTATTTTTCTAAAACCAAATTAAATCTGAGCCCCTGCTTCAAAGGTCAGCAAGATATCCACCCCCAGTCAAGAGGGGCAGGCCTTTCCCCACCCTAGTCTTGAACAAGTACCTGGAAATATAATCAGGCCAGAGATCTGGGCTAAGGGCTCTGGTCTTCTGTGAAGCAGAGTTGATCGGACGCTGCTTATGGTTTCGGGCCACTTGGAACATTTAAAAGTGAGTGAGTGCGGTATTCAGAGCATTCATGTCCCCTACGGACAACTAAGCCAGCAAAAATTTTTCTGTGGTCCCCTTAGGCCATAGCTCCCAGGATGCACTGTTATCACACTCTCTTCTACCAGCGTGCTGTGTTGGTGGTAGATTCTGGTCTCCTCTATTCAAGAAGACCATCCTCCCCAACTTAGAGATCTCCGATCACTCCCCAGCCCATCCCCATCCTCACCCCTCAAAGGAAATGAAGATTACACGCCATGATTGCTCGTTGGGGATCACGCAGCAGAGCATGTGTGAGAAGGCCTGCCACACGGCGGTGCTTCATGTTTTCATTATGATCACCGTTTGCCACTTTCCTTAGCATTTACCAATAAAAGCTTCTGACCTCCCCTCTGAGAAAAGGGGAATCCTAAAACATGTGACCACGACATCCAGCCAGCCTTCTCTCTTTTGTGGGATAAGCTGCATGGAATGAAGGCGTAGGTAATTTCTCAAGCAGGTGGTTCTGATAAAAGTGTTAATGGCCTAAATGTGACTCCTTGGCCCCGGGCACACCTGGACGGTAAGGACAAGTCAGGAGTTAGTTCCGTGTGGAGCTTTCTCTTCTTTGATGTCGCTGCCTTCACTGCTTGTGCAGCTACCTGCCCCTGTAAGTAGGCCACGTAGGTCACTTGCACTAGGACAGCAAGAGATGTCATGTTCCCACTCAGCTCACACAGGATAACACCCAAGTGATGCGTTTTCAAAGCTCATTTAGATCCATCAAGTCCGGAAATTCGTGTGAATATTGTTTAATGCTTTTGTTAGAGGATCGTAAAAGATCAGCTTTTCCTGGTGTTTTACCTCTGTTTTATGGGCTCCACCTCAAAACCTGGTGGATCTATTTTATTTTATTTATTATTATTTTTTTAATATGATATCTGTCCTTCTCTGACTGACTTCTGTCACTCTGCATAATACCTTCCAGTTCCATCCACATTGCTGCAAATGGCTGGATTTCATTCTTTCTCATTGCCAAGTAGTATCCATTGTGTATATAAACCACATCTTCATCCATCCATCAGCTGACAGACATTCAGGCTCTTTCCATAATTTGGCTATTTTTGGAAGTGCTGCTATAAACACTGGGGTACACTGGCAGATCCATTTTAGTGGAAAGGTTGAAGCAAATCTACTTTGCACTGTTTGAGCTTAACTAGAAAGAATTTTAAGACCTTATGATTAGGTATATGTAACTCATATATTTTGCTTATTTAAGCCAACTGAGTCCATTTATTCTTCTCTTTGGGCACTTACAGTATATACTGGTGTTCTCTCCTCAGGCTGTCTTTCCTTCCTAGAATGCCCAGCTTTGTAATGGTCGTGGTCTCTTTGGAACTAGCCACCTCCCTGGGAAATCTCCCTCACTCAGCTCCTAGTGGCTTCCTGTTCTGACTCCCAGATGTGACTTAGAGTGCCACTTCTAGCCATCACTTCCTCAGTAAGGAGACCCATCATCCCCTCCCCATTCCCCCCGTCTCCTTGGGTCATGGAGAATGATGAGGTAGCTGTCTCTGAGGGTCTTGTGGTTCTCTTAGTGTCTGGAACAGGCAGTAGCTTCCATGAGTCTTCCAGTTGTTCAAGGCTACTTGTAATCAAATCGGGGCGTCTTTTCCGAGAGGTCTATGCCGCAGCTCTGCAGGGACTGTCAGAACACTCCAGCCACTTGTGAAAAGCATGGAAGCATGTCATGCAAGCTATGCAAAGGTCAGAGGAAGGATGTCACAACAGGTCACCATCACCTCTCCAATAAGCTCATTTTTCATCTTCTCCCTCTTGACCCTTGTGCTAGTGAAATGAAAGATGCATAATTACATAAAAGAGGGCAGTATTTTTGTAAAAGCAACCCTGAAAGGTGGCCAATGAAAGAAAGAATCTTTAAAAAGTTCAGAGTAGACAGGTCAAATTGACTCTTGGTTTCAGCTTGGGTCAGGATCCCAGGGTTGTGGGATGGAGTCCTGTGTTGGGCTCCACACTAAACGTTGAATCTGCTTGAGATTCTCTCTTTTTCTCTGCACCTCTCCCCAGCTGATGCATGCTCTCTCTCTAAAATAATAATAAAAAAACCTTATTAATCTTGTTGAGTAAATGTTGAATGAGACAATGAGGTATGTTGAAATTGGACTCTTATTTATTCTTATTATTTGTTTAATTTTGGTTTCCCAGGCAGGGAAGGGCTTCATCACCTGCTTGTGGAGGAGGGAAGAGGAATGTCTCCCATCTCTACAGGGAAATTTGATCGATTTAAAATTTTTTTTTTTTAATTTTTAAGTTTGTTTCTTGAGAGAGAGAGAATAGGGGAAAGGCAGAGGGAGAGAGAGAGAGAGAGAGACAGAGAGAGAGAGAGCGAGAATCCCAGGCAAGTTTCACACTGTCAGCGCAGAGCCCAACCTGGGGCTCGAACCCATGAACTGTGTGATCATTACCTGTGCTAAAATCAAGAGCTGGTGACTCCGCCAACTGAGCCACCAAGGGGCACCATATTATTTGAACCTGTCATTTTTTTTATGACCTGCTTTTTGTTTTTAATCATTTTTATTTGCCACATGGTCTGAGATGTTCATCTTTTCTCCATGTGTTTATATACTTAAATCATGGTTTAATGAGCTATCACTTTAAGATTCAGTATCTATTTAATTCTTAAGAGATGAG